TCCACCACACACACACACACACACACACACACACCCTCATTCTTCAGTTTTGTAGAAATTAGTTAGCTCTAAAACCTTTGCTTAAAGAAACAGCTTTCCAATATGCACAGATATCCATGGAACTTTTGCTGGACCTCCTATACCAGGTACAGGATTCCTACAGTGGTATTTAGCAATGCCTTTTGAAACAGATACTCTACATGAAACACCTTTTCGATGCCCTGATTCAGAAGATACTTAAATCACATGACTAACTTTAAGCATGTGAATACAGCCATTGATTTCAACAAGACTCTTCACATGCTCAAATTTACACATATATCTAAGTTCTTTACTGAATCAGGGCCCGAGACACTTAATTACCTTCTTTTGTATCACCCCACGTTCTACCTGAACTCCTGGTACTACATCACTTGTTTATTTTACCCTATATTATGTCTACATATGCACTACTTTCCTCGTCTACTTCTACAGCCCATTACCACGTGGATAGCTGCTTTCTTGGAGGCTGTATTTTATATAGCCTAATTCCTTAATAAACTTTAAAGTTTTCAGAACATCTCACCTTCCATTTCTTTTTCAGCTCTTTTTGCTTTCTCTTTGTAAATGTTATCTAATCGTTTCTGCTTCTCCTCCTCCCTTCTCCTTTCAGCCAGAGTTCTGACATTTACGTCTTGAAAATCCACCTGAGGAGGAATTGAAGAAAACTGTTATATTCATTGTAAGAAATACAGAAACACTCCCAAGATTCCTATCTTTGATTAAATATCCTCTAACATCATTAATCAGTGGGTCTCTCTACAGTACTTCCTTTTATTGCCCCTTCTCCCAGAATCTATAACTATGGTAACATTTTTTATTAGTGAAAAATGAGATCATAGGAAGCAGAAACCTGAACATTCTCTCTGCTGTCCAAGGCCAAAGAAAGGAATCTATCTTGATGCACCCTTTATAATTTTGGGAAGCCCTCACTTACAGTAGGGGGGTGGGAGAGGTGTCACATATGAACTAGATAGAGAATATGCAAAACTAATGCTAGGTTGACCCATATAACTCAAGAATTTTAGAGTAAAAGCCAAAACTGCTACTTGCACACACTTTTCCCAAGAACTTTGCATGCAAGCAAACCAACCAATCCAGGATCAAGCCATATCCCCTGCAACATGCAGTGAGTTAAATCACTGAATTTTGGCTTTTACACTAAATTTCCTGGCTTTGGTGGATTTTTCTCAAAAATCTTATTTTTTATTTTACTCCTTTATTTCTTATTTTTGAAGTACAGAACACAATGTAAGTCATGCACCTTACAGTAGCTCCAACTACTGTTTTGATTTTATTAATTTTAAATGTTAGGTTTTTTGCTTTATTTTAATTTGCTCATGAAAAGGCCTGAAAATTTAATTTTTTTCCTTCTAAAAATTATATTCTGATGTACAAATCTATGAGCTAGCATTAAGAAAAAGCTGGCTTTTGGTTGCTTTAGACCTTATAATTTAGCTACATGAGACATCTCATCCTGCAAGTTACTGAGTACCATCAACTAACTTCCATTAACTTCAATGAGAGAGACAAGATAGGTGAGATAATTTCTTTTATTGGACCAACTTTTATTGGTGAGAGAGACAAGCTTTCATGCCACACAGAGCTCTTCTACAATGCATTAACTTCAATGTTAGTTTATACTGTAAAGTGCTATGCAAGGAATACTTAGGAACTATTATTCTAATGGAATTAGCAATCCCTCCCCAGATGCTAAATTCATAGTCTGCACATCCAGATGAAATTTTCTTTGGTCATAATGGTTGTACATGAAATAAACCATATTTCAAAATAAAATGACGTTTCTGAGATTTTGTTTTGCTGTGACGTAAAGACCACACACGGTCCTCAAGATCATGTGCTTTAAAACACCGCCCTTTTTCACATGACTGTAATTATAGTAGGAGAGCAAAATCTGACACACACAATAAATGCCTGTACCATTTGGAGATCAAACTATAAGTGTGCAGCCAACAAGCATCCCCTTTTGCTTCCTCCAAGAACCTCTCCTCTACAACATGCCCCTGTACTTCAGTAGCCAGGGATCAGGAAAATTAGGTCTGTTCCTAGTCCTGGATTTCACACACTATTGTCCAGTCATGTGTGTTTCTCATTCACTCTCTATGCAACCATTGGCACATTACTTAAGCCCCAATTCAGCAAAGCACTTACACATTTGTTTGACTTTAAGCACAGATTTAAATTCTACCTAAGTCAATGGGAGTTAATCACAAACCACAGGGCTTTGAGTCTAAGTACATGCACATACGTATTTTGCTCTATCAAGGCCCTAATCTTCTTGTGTATCAAATACTAATGTACCCCATAGGAATGAAGTGAGACTTAACTAATATTTGTAAGCTTCTTGAAGTCAAGTGGTGGGGTAGGCAATATTTCAATTTTACAAAGTAACTGACACACAGAGCGACTTGCAATATAGTAAATTTAAGGGGGCAATTGCATCTATATCTACAGAAAGACAAAGGTAGTTGCATGAATACATCTGATTTTGATTCCCCTCATCAATCTTAATGGTTTTAAAATCACATTTCCTTTTTGGAAATATTTCTTTCCCCACACTGTGGGGCTCTTTCAGTGAACAATTAAAATTGTATACGGGATGTCAGACATACAAAGTAAATAAATGGAAATAAAACCCAGAAAGTTTCCTCTGATCTTTGTTATAATGAGTGCATCTAACATTAGTAGGTAACATTTCATTTAAATACGATTTCAGACTTGTGAAAAGTTTGCACAGTGAGCTAGTGCCACAATCAGAATTAGAACCCAAGACTCCCCACATCCCAATCCTGTGTTCTCATTGTGACACCTCTCATGGAGCAGTTTCATCCTTACATAGGGCAGTGGTGCCCAACCTTTTTATACAGGAGGGCCACATAACCCTAAGCACAACCTTGTGTGGGCCAAACAGATTCTACATATCTTAATAAGAATTAAAGTCACCTGTATTGATTTATAGATAGGTTGTTTCTATGTACGGTATTGTCTATTTACACAAAAAGAAGAACAGGAGTACTTGTGGCACCTTAGAGACTAACAAATTTATTAGAGCATAAGCTTTCGTGGACTACAGCGGGCTGTAGTCCACGAAAGCTTATACTCTAATAAATTTGTTAGTCTCTAAGGTGCCACAAGTACTCCTGTTCTTCTTTTTGCGGATACAGACTAACACGGCTGCTACTCTGAAATCTATTTACACATTTGTGTAAATTAAAATGATGTAAACGTGATGACAAAACGCTAATGAATCAGCCATTAGTATATTGTGTTGAAGGCTGCAGGCCTTATAAAATGCTCTGGTGGGCACCTGCGGGCCATAGGTTGGCCACCCCTGACATAGGGAAAGAGCATCTAAAAAGTTAAAATAGAATTACTCTGTGTTAGCTCAGTGGGTTTGAGAACTTATGCTGGGTTTCCTTGTTTAGATCAGAGTTAGCCACTTGAGTAATTGTTCTGCCTCTATTGGTCTCAGCAGTAGATGCCTTTTCCTTCATGCTAGTCAGAACAACATACCAGAATTTGAGGTGGAGGAGCACACAGTCCTACTCAGTTCAGGCCTGCTTAAATGATATATTAAAAAAAAAAAAGAAAGAAAAAAAGAAAGAAAGGGGGAAAAGAAAAAAAAAGCTATTCCCTAACAGAAAAATGTTTACTTCAATCTTGGGAACAACATAGTGTATAACTATCAGCCCAGTGATGTAGGAGTTGGGCTCTGTTGTATTAATTTAGATAGAATAGATGGTCCAAAAAGTGTCAACAGAACCCAATCATTATCTAACATTAAACAGTGTTAAACAAGGTTTGGTACAGAGACCTCAGCCTCCTTCATACCAGGAAAAAAGTTGACATATGAAATGTAAAGTATGAAATATGGCTTTCATTTTAACAACATCCCTAGTTCCCTTTGCTGGAAATAGTTTTTAGAAGGAGAACTCCCTTGTTTGACATTCCCTTAAGAGGGTATCCCAGGAGGTAAGAACTATCCTTTTAGAAAAAAGAGAAGTTAGTTCAGATGGGCTGTAGCTGTTATTAAAGTTTGAGCCCATTTTATCCCAGGTGTTGTTTGGAATTCATCTAGAGCCGGTAGAGGTAGAAATGTTATCTGGGTCCCTTTTTCTGCATCGGTCTGGTCAGGACATCTCTCAGAATTAGGATGACAAAGGCCCAGGATCCCAGGAAATGGTTGGGATAGCAACCATGATGGTGAAGCTCGCTTCAGTAGCCACCCCCGGCCCTCCATTCTTCTATATTCCTCCCCCCCCCTAAAAAAAAGTCTCTCTCTTTAAGGACTCAAAAAGGGAGTGATGGGGGGGGAATAGCCCATCCCCTCATTATTTTGTCCACTAACTAGGCCTAATATCCTACACCAATTTTGATTAATTGAAATTCCAGTTCCTCAACTTCTGTTTTTACCAAGCATGATTTCATCATAGTTCTTGAACCATAGCAATAGGCCCCCTTGTTTAGACTAATTTAGTCTGTCTCCTTTTGGCCCCTTCCTCTCCACGCCCATCAACATCTGTTAGGTTATTGTGACATCTTATGCATGTTCACATACTTTTTACAGTTAAGCTCACAGAGTAAATGTGTAGGCCCAGTTATAATAGCTTTCACAGCACACAGAAAACCCCACGCTCAGCTCTTAATTCTACTCATGCCCTTCTCAAAGTGAAAAGGGTTGAGGGTACTGCGCTACTTAATCTGAATAGGAGTCTTGTATCACTCAAATGCACTAACAGATACGCAACGCAACACCTCATTACACACTTATGGATATAAATGCAAAAATCTTTGTACATCTAGTTTTAATTGAATCCCACTTTGTCAATAAGGATATCTTATCTCAAGCCTTTTGGGTAAATAAGCAAGTGATTACATTACTAATGGGCAGAGCAGAGGTGGAGATCTGTGGCCTTCAGAACATGCTCTTCCACGGTGTCCACCTCTTCTCCCCCTCTTCCCCCCTCACCCCCACCACTCTGAAATGTTTCTGATCAGAAAAAGTTACACGTTGCATTAAGTTTATTAACCAGTACAGTTCCTGACAGTATCAATAGGTTTAAAAATACTCAGCTACATGGGAGTGGAGATGTGTGGAAATCAATGCTTGTGGGGCAGCAAAATGAAGCAATGTAACTTCTATATCCAATTAATGAAGTTACCTATATATCAGTGATTTGGTTAATATTGCTCTGTTAAAGCTTCAGATTCTAAATCAGCTGCCTATAAAGACAGAAAATCTTTGGTTATGGCTATAGCTTGCAAGCTGCCTCCAAGCAGGGTCCTTAATTTCCTTTGTTATATGTACAGCTCTAAGCAAATTGTTGCTGCTTAAATAAGCTGTGAAGAAAATTGTAAGTTTTTATTGGGGGGAGAGGCAGCAAGATATTTATACATTTGGAATTCCTCCAGCACCTGGAAGAACACAGACAGACCATACTGCAAGGTCTATAAGGTCAATACATTGGCTCTACTAGACCAAACAAAGGGTAGGGCACCAAAAAGGGGAGAAAACATTTCAGAATCCAATGCCCTTGAGTAAGGGCCTTATCCAAAGCTCATTAAAGTCAACGGGTTTTGCATCAAGCCCTAATCCCTTCCCAATAGACCCCTTTTGTTTAAATCATTGAATGTCAGCTAAACCACCTCTATTAATTGCAAATGTCAAGTATTATGCAATTGAAGAAGTGGTCTGCTAGGTACTTAATTAGGATGCAAGATATTTACAGCTGCATAAGTCAAAACACCACTTTGGAACAAACTGGAAGCCAGTGACGACTACATACATAATATGCTCCTAGTGAGACAACTTGCAAAACTATTAGGCAGGCACATACTGTGCTATTGCACTGATCCACTAATAAGGTGACAGACGTAGGTAACTGCAGCAAGAAATGCATCTGAAAAGAAAACTTTAGACCAACACATTGAAAAAGTGTTCTCGGTCAGTGCTGTTATCTATGTTATATGCATAGACATGCAGCTGGTGGTCCACTTGGACCATCCCCCCACCCCTGGGTTGGGGGTACGTGGTACAGGCAGTAGCTATGCTTCCCTCATGCATGCAAGGGAGTCAAAGTGACTTCAGCCAACCATTTTTGTAACCGTTTACAAGCATTATTAGCTTAGTATTGCTCAGGTTGAGGAGCAGTCAGATAGCCCCAACCACTGTTAAGCATAAGAATTTCACAGTAGATCAGACCAGCGACCCATCTGATCTAGTGTCCTGTCTCCAACAGTAGCAAATGCCAGCTGTTTTAGAGAATGCTATAAGAAATGTTGCAGTACGTAGTTATGGGATTATGTACTTACAAGGAAAATCTCCTCCCAATCCCCTACAACTAAAGGATGTCTTAAACCCTTAACAACAACAGTTTACACACATGCACTATATATATATATATGTGTATATACATATACACACATATACACACACACATATGAAAATATTGTGTGCATGTGTGTAAACATATATATATATATAAAATTAAATATTTACTATTCTGAATCTAGCTATTCCTGAGACAAGGAGGATGAGGTAATACTGTTTATTGGACCAACTTCTGTTGGCGAAGAAGAAACTTTCTTCAGTCCTTGTCCTAAAGGGTTCCTTTGAGGACACCTTCAAAAGATGAGCCTGGGAACTCAAATTCATAGCTTCGCTACACGCTAACTATCATGGAATAAAGACACTGGATTTATGATTTATTACAATAATCTGTAACCTCCTTTTTTGTCCTATGACTGCAGAGGTGTTAACGGGCCATTTCACTTTGAATGGTCCCTTACAATGTGTGTTAACTACTTATGCTAACAATCTGTTCCACCTTGTATTTAGCTGTGGCACTCTGAGTACCCTTCCCAGACCTGAGGAAGAGCTCTGTGTAGCTCAAAAGCTTGCCTCTTTCACCAACAGAAGTTAGTCCAATAAAAGATACAACCTCACCCACCTTGTCTAACATCCTGGGATCAATCCGGCTACAACAACACTGCAAACCTAGATATTCTTGTAATTCAGATAAAGCATCCAATTCTTTTACAGTCCTGCTAAGCTGTTAGCCAGACTGAATATCTTGTGACAGTGAGTCCACAGGCCAGTTATGCACTATGTTACAATATTTCCTTTTATCAATCTTGCACTCTTTTCAATGTGACTGAACATCTCTTTGTTGTTGTACTGTGAGAGCAGTGAATAGGGTAAATCTGTCTCCAGAGTTTATGCATGCCTCCAGTCATTGTCATTGCCTCAGTCATTCTCATTGTCCCTCTCAGAACGTCCTCTAATTTTATTCTACCAGTTTTTAAACATAGTGACTAGGATCTAACAGTATTCAAAGTGAGAGCATGCCCCGATTTATAAAATGGGCATTAAAATATTTTAATTGTTCTCGATCCCATTCCTTACATATCCTAAAATTCTCTTTGCTTCTTTTACTATTACTGAACATTGAGCAGAGGTTTTTGTTAGAGCTGATGCAATCCTTAGATTAGTATAGAGAAGATATTGATTAGAAGTAGGAGGTAGTATTATAATTGTATACAGCATGAGTGAGACCATTACTAGAATTGTGTGTTCAGTGCTGGTACCTATGCAAACTGGAAAGAAAACTACAAAAAATAATTCAAGGTCTGGAAAACCTGCTTTACAGCAAGACTCAAGAAACCCAATCTATTTAGTTTATCCAAGAGAAGGTTAACAGGCATCTTGATCATGGTCTACAAATATGGAACAGAAGTATTAGTAGAAGTCTCTAATTTAACACAAAGGCATAAAATCCAATGTCAGGAAATTAAAACTAGACAGATTCAGATTAGAAATAACAGGGTTAATTAACAGTCAAGGAAATCAGCCATTGCAGCTACTTATCTTCAGATGTTGTGGAATATGTCACTTAAAGTCTTCAACTCAAGATAGGATGTATTTTCTAAAAGGTATGGGCTTGGTGGAATAAAGTTCTATGGCCTGCTATACAGTAAGTCAGATTATTAGATGATCATAATGGTCTCTTTCTGTCTTGATAATCTAGGAGCTGTCCACAGTGGTGTCTAGTATTTTTCCTAAAACGATAGTTATTTTAGAACCCCAAGAGATGTATGCGTAGTTCAATTTTCCTCCAATGTTACTTTGCATTCATCTGCCATTGTGTTACCTATTCATTAGCTCGGGTATGTTCCTCTGAAGTTCCTCAGCCTTTTTTAATTGTAACTAACCAAGAGTTTTGTTTCATCTCCAAATTCTCATGTCACTATTCATCCTCTTTTCAAATTATTAAACACCAGTCCTAGTACAGCACTACATGCCATCCCATTATTAGCCTTTTGCTATAATGAAGGTTGACCAATTGTGTTCTTAACTATCTGGTTTCTGATCCATGATAGTACTTAAGTTCTCCCTCTCCCCACCCTGCGACTACTTAGTCCCTTAGTAGATCTAAAGGCAGGAAGTTGAAGCAAGACAAATTCAGACTGAAATTAAGGCTGAATTTTGAACAGTAAGGGTATTTAACCACTGGAACAATTTACCAAGGGATGTGGTGGATTTTCTATCACTATCAAATTTTAAAATGAAGATTAGATGTTTTTCTAAGAGATATACTTTAGTTCAAACAGGAATTAATTCAGGGAAGTACTATGGCCTGTGTGATACAGGAGGTCAGACTAGTTGATCACAATGGTCCTTTCTAACCTTATAATTTATTAATCTAACCACATGTGAGCACTGGCTTTACACCAGCTGGCTTCAGCTGAGATGGAAAGAGCCAAACATCATCCATGTATTGAAACCCAAATTACACATCCCCTCTAGCCCACCTAATAAGTCACATACCCATTGAACAGGAAGGTTATTAAAGAAATAGAATCTTGAAGAACCCCAAGAGATCATGTGGCACTGAATGAGTTCCTTTATTAATGAGATCCAACAGGATAGTGGCTAAAGAGTGAACACTGATATTCCAGCATCAATAGAGAAAGGGTATATTTAACGCTCTGATTAGTAGCATATGAAGTAGTATATAAACTTTGCAAGGTGAACAGGAAAAAAAACCAAGAAATACAAAATATATTATAGTATCTCATTTCTTGTTACTGCCTTTGATTTACACCTCTAGAAAAATAAAATCTGTGTTGAAATGAGCTTTAGACATTGTAACACACGGAAAGACCTATCCAAATAGGGTATTTACACTCTAATCTGAAGCAGTAAAATAAGACATGTTGTAGGAAGAGTTTACAGGTTGTCTCGTATTTAAAAAAAAAAAAAAAAGAAGTCCTAAGCAGTTTAGAAAGGACTTAGGTTGCGGGGGGGGGGAGGGGAAGAAGGAAAGGTAACTAAATTTCAACAAAGAAGTGAGCAAGAAAAAACAGTATTCAACACATTTGTCAGAAAGAAAGAAAGAAAGAAAGAAAGAAAGAAAGAAAGAAAGAAAGAAAGAAAGAAAGCTCAACTTTGTTTCCAGCATATATCCCTTAATATTATCTTACAGTGGAGAAATCAACATCTGCCAGAAATCAGCCTTATCTTTCTAAGCCAGAACCTAATGAGTCGATGTGGAGAAGTAAACATGCAGAAGTAAACAGGCAAAATACCTTCTTGTTCTGTTTTAAGAAATGGTATCCTAGGGAGAGTTTCTTGTAAGCTTCTCCATATTTTTCATGCCAAGCTTGTACAGATTTAATGGCTGTTTTTTTCAGTTTTTGTGCTACTTCTTTTGGTGGGGGAAGAGGCTGCTCATGGTCTGTTTCAATTGTGAGCTCCAAGAATTCTTGAAAGTTTGAAATAATTAAGGTCCTAAACTGATGTGACCGGGTGAAGAGCTCATCCACAATTTGAAAAGCTGAGAAGCGTATCTCTGCATGTTCTTGATTCAGCTGTGTCATCAGTAGATGATACGCATGACTAATATGTTCATCTGAAGACCTTTTAAAAAGTAACAAACATTATCAACACAAGTACAACCATCAGCAAGTGAGTTTGTCCTTTTATGGATTAAAAATATTGTTTAACAGAAAAAAAGGAAGCTTTCTGTTTTGACATGAGATTAAAAGATATTTAGCCCGCAAAAAATCATCCCCAAAAAACTCACTAGGAGTCTTTTAACGAGTTTTGGAGGAAACCCACCATCATTATTCATTCCATGAGTTTCCCTAAATTTTCAAGGCAACAATCAATTCCAAAGTGTTGCTTAAAGCAAAAAGAAGAGTCTGGAAGAGGCCAGACTAATGGGTCACTGTGACCTGTTTTTTATATGAAAGAGTGTAAGATGATAAAATGCTAGAAAACAGCCTTGTGCCAGTATGTTCCTCAACTAAAGAATTTAACCACGCTTCATACTTGCAGATTTTTTTTAGCTCTTTCATTTTCTCTGGATTCAGTTGAGGCTCTCCTGAGGTTGTGAGGTCCTCGACCAGCTGAGAGAGCTTTTGGTCCATCTGCGGAAACTTGTAAGACAAAGAAAAATAAGATCACATTTTATTTGCCTGGCATTAATATTTTGACTAGTATTTTATATATATATTTAATGTTTGCCAGACCAGCATATTTGGTATTCCGCTACATTACCTGAACTAGTGCTTATACCCTCATCTTGACCTGACCAGTTTTAAGAATTTTATTAAGATGATGTTAAAATAAAAAGAAAACGGTACAGAGTTTAAGCATAGAAGTTTCTGGTTATCATAGCTTGGGAGCAGATATGCTTGCCAAAACCAACCACAAAGAACCTGTGTGACAAGTGGCATAATTTTATGCCTTGGCAAAAGACGAGCAGGGAAGTTGTCTTTTCAGAGGGGCAATGAAAGCGATTAAGACTCTACCCATGTTGACATGACCAGCTCAACAGCATTCCTGACACGATCCCAGTAAGTGTATTGGGGCGTGCACAGCATTATTCATAAGGTACCTGTTCTTTAGGTGGAAGGGGAAAAGGCACCTTGAGCAGGCAGGTGGATATACGCAAATTTCAAAGATTTAGAAACTGCTGAACTTGAATTAACATGCAAACTAGATATCATCAATTTAGGCTTAACTAGAGACTGGGAATGGCTGAGCCATTACACACATTGAATCTATTTCCCCATGTTAAGTAGCCTCACACCTTCTTGTCAAACTGTGTGACATGGGCCATCTTGATTATCACTACAAAAGTTTTTTTTCTCCTGCTGATAATTGCTCATCTTAATTAATTAGGCATCTCCCACCTTTTCATGTTCTCTGTATGTGTGTATATATATCTCCTTACTATATGTCCCATTCTACGCAGCCGATGTGCTCAAATACATTTCAGAGTAGATCTTGGGAGACAGACCTGTCCTCGCTTACAGCCAACCCCCCCAACCTAAAGCAAATGCTCACCAGCAACCCCACATCACCGATCCAAACCACTAACCCAGGAACCTATCCGTGCAACAACCCCCGATG